TCCAGCCCTCTTTTGAGTCCTAAAGGGGACGTTCCACAGACAGATACCAGATTCTTACCTCCCCGCTGGAGGTCTAGGTGGCTCGTCGTTTTCGGATTGCAATTTGGGGAGGAAAACACTCCGTCTCCCTGGGACCGGAGATAGAGACTGGAGTGTCCTCGCCTGGGGCATCCAGGGTGTCCACTGGCAACTTGGCCGGAGTGGATCTCAGGGGCCTCCAAATGTAATGGGGCGACACGCGGAGATGTCCACCAGGGACTCAGATCAAGATTTAGGAGACTTTATTAAGCTGGCCAGCAACTACAGTTACAGCACCCTGCCGAAGCAAAGGCTGAACTGCAGTGCTGACTACAGGAGTTACAGTGTTTTTATTTGCAAAAACCACAAAGTTAGTTACAAAGCCTTGTTTACACAATTTGTTCCCAACACAGTACAGCATCAATCAGTACAGTGACTACCTTCCTATCTATGTGGTTTAGGAAGAGAGAGCACAGCATGCCCCGCCTGGCCGAAGAGCCAGATATGCAGCCCAGCACAAAATAAACTCAAAATGGATAAAGGACTTAAACATAAGACAGGAAACCATAAAAATCTTAGAAGAATCTATAGGAAGCAAAATGGCAGACATATGTCATAGCAATATCTTTATCGATACAGCTCCTAGGGCAATGGAAACTAAGGTGAAAATATACAAATGGGACTACATCAAAATAAAAAGCTTCTGCACAGCAAAAGAAACCATAAACAAAACAACAAAAAAGACCACTGCATGGGAGAGAACATATTTGCCAATGTTAATCTCTGATAAAGGTTTAATCTCCAAAATTTACAGGGAACTCATACAACTTAACAAAAGGAAGATAAAAAATCCAATCAAAAAATGGGAAGAGGAACTAAATAGACACTTTTCGAAACAGGACATACAGAAGGCCAAGAGACATATGAAAACATGCTCAAAGTCACTAATCATCTCAGAGATTCAAGTCAAAACAACGAGGTACCATCTCACGCCTGTCAGAATGGCTATCATCAACAAATCAACAAACGACAAGTGCTGGAGAGGATGTGGAGGAAAAGGAACCCTCTTGCACTGCTGGTAGGAATGCAGACTGGTGCAACCACTATAGAAAACAGTATGGAGTTTCCTCAAGAAATTAAAAATGGAACTCCCACTTGACACAGTAATTTCACTTCTAGTAATATATCCCAAGAAATCAGAAACACCAATCAGAAAAGGTATACGCACCCCTATGTTCACAGCAGTACAAACAGCAGTGTGGTAGTTGCCAGAGAGTCGGGTATGGGAAGTGAAGGGGGTTCTAATATATGGTGACAGGAGAAGATTTAGTTGGTGGGCACACAGTGCAATATTCAGATCTTGTAACATAGAAACCAACATCTGAAGTATATAAGATCATAGTAACCAATGTCAGCCCAATACATTTAATTAAAAAAGGAAAAAATAAAGTTTGTAGAAATCAGAGGACTACAGATATAGATTGGAAGTAACTTGATAAGAGTTGGTAACTGAAGTCATAAGAATACGAGTTTAAAGAAGAAAAATAAACAGAAAATAGGCGAAGTCTACAGTCCTCCGTTCTACCAGCTGAGCTATCGAAGGGAGCACAACAGAAAATAGGCAAAGTCTAAATGCTCAGACTTTGGTAGTGCCAGTTAAGTATGAAGAGAAATTAGAGTTAATAAAGGCAATGCATAGGAACAATAAGATATTTGGAGAGACACCTTGAATAGTATAATATGATGGAAGCCCGGGTATGAGTTTCAAGAATTTTCTACATCAAGAAGCAAAAAAAGCCCTAGCTGGTTTGGCTCAGTGGATAGTATCGGCCTGCAGATTGAAAGGTCCCAGGTTCGATTCTGGTCGTGGGCATGTACCTTGGTTGCGGGCACATCCCCAGTAGGGAATGTGCAGGAGGCAGCTGATCGATGTTTCTCTCTCATTGATGTTTCTAACTCTCTCTCTCCCTTCCTCTCTGTAAAAAATCAAATATATATATATATATATATATATATATATATATATATATATATATTAAAGAAGCAAAAAAAGCAGTACGGAGAAATGTGGTTGGATTTTACAACATTTTTGTATTAGTAGTAATAGAAGCCTGTTGCAAAGAATTAAGGAGTGAATTAAGCTATATAGAAATAGAATCATCTGCATCAGTCTGGGCCCAATTAGGAGGAAAAAACCACACTCTAATTTGAATAGGAAAATTTTGAGACAAAGAGTTATTGACTATAATAGTGAATGAGAATAACAAGGTATTAGCTAATAAGAAATTACAGATGTCCCTTCCACCCACCATTGACCCCCTTTACCAGCTCTCCTCCCCTCCCATGCCCTCCCTGCACTATTGTCTGTCCATGGGCTATGCATATATGCATATAAGTCAATTTAATTTGGGGAACCATAAAAATACTAGAAGAAAATATAGGCAGCAAAATATAAGACATCTCATGTAGCAGAAATTTCATTGCTAACAATGCCTAAGGCAAGAGAAACAAACAAAAAATAAACAAATGGGACTACATCAAAATAAAAAGTTTCTGCCCAGCAAAAGAAATAAGCATCAAAATGAAACATGAACATATTTACCAGTGGTACATCTGATAAGGGGTTAATCTCCAAAATATATAAGGAACTCATACACATTAACAAAAGGAACACACATAATCCAATTAAAAATGGGTAGAGAACCTGAATAGACACTTCTCCAAATAGGACATACAAATGGCCAAAAGACATGAAAAAATGCTCAATGTCATTAATTATCAGAGAGATGCAAATAAAAATGACATTGAGGTACCACCTCACACCTGTCAGAATGGCTACCATTAATAAATCAACAAACAAGTGCTTGTGAGGATGTGGAGAAAAATAAAACTTTTAAATAACATAAGATTGGTATAAGTAAAGAATAGCTACTACTCCTAGGGCTAAGAGAGCACTCAAATAAGAGAGTTCCCACCCCACACTCTGCCCAGGAGAAAGATCCAGACCTTCTTTGAGTAGGCACTACTATGAAAGAGAAGTCACTGTGGTTGTCATGCTTGTGGAACTTGGTAGAAATTTGCCCACAAAGCATCAGCAGAAAAAATATCCTCTAGTGCAGTGGTCAGCAAACTGCGGCTCGCTAGCCACATGCGGCTCTTTGGCCCCTTGAGTGTGGCTCTTCCACAAAATACCACCTGTGGGCACGCATGTACAGTGCAATTGAAACTTCGTGGCCCATGCGCAGAAGTCGGTATTCTGTGGAAGAGCCACACTCAAGGGGCCAAAGAGCCGCATGTGGCTAGCGAGCCACAGTTTGCCGACCACTGCGAGTCTAGTGTATCTAGAAAAGCTAATCATGTGGAAGTATTCGCTAGAAAAATGGCCAAGGGGAAAGAAGTCAAGGGAAGTTGTCGGAGCTGAACATTGGAGAAGCCATCCTTGCTGCAGGAACTAGATACTTGGGAGGCAGCCTGTGCAGCCAAACTCTGGAGAAGCTCTCCGTGGTGCAGAAGCTGGGCACTGAGGAAACCACATGCACTGAATGAGTCCATAGGTAAAATCTCCAGTGAGGAGGACAGGAGAGAAACTTATGCTCTCATGTGATAACAGAATTTTTGGAGCTGATAAACAGGTTTTAAAATAAAGTGGAATTTGCCTACAAGGATCAGGGGCTCCACAAAGTACCCTAACAGCTAGAAAATGAGGAAAATGAAGGGGAATTGAGAGGAAAATGTAGTAGGGAGAGTAAGGAAGTGTTGAATGAATGCTTGTGTTTTAAAGGAGGTAACAGCCCTGGCCAATGTGGTTCAGTTTGTTGGGCATCGTCCTGCACACCAAGAGCTTGTGTGTTTGAATCCCAGTCAGGGCACATAACCAGGTTATGGGTTCCATTCCCCATTTGGGGCATGCAGGAGGCAGCCGATAGTTGATATTTCTCTTTCTACCTCTCTCTTCCTTTCTCTCTAAAATGTTTTTATTTAAATTCTTTATTGTTGAAAGTATTACATATGTCTCCTTTCCCCTCCCTCCATTGACCAAAATAAAATAAATAAAGGAGGTAACAGAAATGAGAGGCTTGTATCTTCAACTGAATGGATATTGCAAACTGAAACTGAGAAAGTAATGGGATTGAAGTAGATTACAGTAAAAACATTTTAGAACTAGAAGGAGTAAAGGAGTACATTCATTATATAGGTTTATTTATTTATTTTACATATATATACATATATATTAATTTCAGAGAGGAAGGGAGAAGGAGAAGAGATAGAAACATCAATGACGAAAGAGAATCATTTATTGGCTGCCTCCTGCACGCCCCATACTGGGGATCTAGCCCGCAACCCAGGCATGTGCCCTTGACCAGAATTGAACCTGGAAACTTTCAGTCCACAGGCCGACGCTCTATCCACTGAGCCAAGCTGGCTAGGGATAGATTTTTTTTAAAAAAATTTATTATTATTTTATTCTTTATTGATTAAGGTATTACACATGCGACCTTTTCCCCCCTTTCCCCCCCCTCATGCCCTCACCCCCCTAATGTCTGTGTCCATTGGTTTTGCTTATATGCGTGCATACAAGTCCTTTGGTTGATCTCTCCCCCTTCCCCCCACCCTCCCCTGCTTCCCCTCTGAGGTTTGAGGGTCTGATCATGCTTCTCTGTCTCTGGATCTGTTTTTGTTCATTGGTTTATGTTGTTCATTATAGTCCACAAATAAGTGAGATCATGTGGTTTATTTTTTAAGACCTAAATAATATATATGATTTGTCTAAGATCACACAGTTAATGAAGGATCTGGAATTAGAGCAAAATTTTGCTGATGCTCACACCATTCATTCTTTTTCTACTGCATCATGCTGGAAAGAGCTAGTTTGAGAGAAGTAAAAAAATTAGTCTGAATTTCAAAGGACACACATTAAAATGCATGTTGACCTTCGTCCTTCTCCCCCCGCCCCCCCGCCCCCCACGCGCACACACACAGCCATGGCCGCCATTATCGCTGCCCTCGGTCCAGGTGCTCCCCGGCCCCTGGACAAATTGCTTCCGAAAGGCGATGCGGGGAAGACTGAGGAGCTAGAAGAGGATGACAACGACGAGCCAGATGAGACCCTGTTAGAGAGACTCTGGGGTCTGACGGAGTTGTTTCCAGAGAGGATCCGGTCCGGTCCGCGGCCGGAGCCACTTTTTTTTTTTTTTTAATCTAGCACTATGAACTATGTATTTTATTTTTTAAACTATATTTTATTGATTTCTTACAGAGAGGAAGGGAGAGGGACAGAGAGTTAGAAACATCGATGAGAGAGAAACATCATCGATCAGCTGCCTCCTGCACACCCCCTACTGGAAATGTGCCCACAACCAAGGTACATGCCCTTGACCAGAATCGAACCTGGGACCCTTGAATCCGCAGGCTGACGCTCTATCTACTGAGCCAAACCCGTTAGGGCCGGAGCCACTTTTGATCTCCCACTCTTTGTGGCTCAAAAAATGTACAGGTTTTCCAGGGCAGCCTTGTGGATTGGGACAACTTCCTTCATAATCCTGGCTCTTCCTGTTGTCTTTGAGACTGAGAAGTTGCAAATGGAGCAACAGCAGCAACTGCAGCAGCCGCAGATACTCGGGTGGGCAAACTTTTTGACTGGAGGGCCACAATGGGTTCTTAAACTGGACCGGAGAGCCGGAACAAAAGCATGGATGGAGTGTTTGTGTGAACTAATATAAATTCAAAGTAAACATCATTACATAAAAGGGTACGGTCTTTTTTTTTTTTTTAGTTTTATTCATTTCAAACGGGCAGGATCCGGCCCACAGGCCATAGTAGTTTGCCCAGGGCTGGAGGGCCTAATATAGGGCTGTCAGGAGTAATGCCAGTGGCTCTACCTTCACTTCCTGGAAAGATCTAGATTGCTACTGCTATATTTGACCTATTTTGGTGGGAGAAGTTTGCAAATTCAATACTGTTTGAACTGATTTTTTTTTCCTTTTCGGCACCAAAAAAACCTGGTTGGGAAAATTTCCCCTTCATTGTCTCATGGAGAGACTCCCAACTTGCAACTGTGCCCTCCAAGCTTTCCTGACTTACTTCTCTCCTCACTCTGACACCAGAGTGCATCGATGCAGATGGTCACTCCAACTCCGGCCATCCCGCCTCTCACTAAATTACTCCTAACCAGAAGGTCTCCTCAGTGTCTGCTTGTGGAGTAGGAACTGATACCAGTGGGAAGGATGTACCCCTGACCATTAACGACGGTTTTGTTTTGACATGCACACTATATGAAATACAAAATGCATTACATGTATAGTGTAAAAGCAGCCACTGTGAATTTCTATGTATGTTGGAAAAGAGGGAGGGCTAGCAGCAGTTTTAACCACAGGATGGGTACTGTGGAGGGCAGAGCAGGAGCTCACTTCCTCTGCACATTTTGGCCATTAGACCTGTGTGTGTCTAAAAGAGAAAAAAAAAAAAAGGCAGTGCTCACTTTTGTAATTAAATATTTAAAATGATTTAAAAAACTGCATGTTGATGTTAGCTCAGGTGAAAAGCAAGTTTACTCAGACTAAGAAATTCACATCAGACATTTTTGTAAGGAGTTGTTGTCTGTAGTATATTTTAAAGGAAAAGTGGATATTTTAGGGCTAGGTGATTTAACTTCCGCTGTTCTATTTAAAAAATGTGAAACAATATACTGAATGAGCAATATGGACTTTAATACATCTAAAACTTAGTTATAGTAAAATTTTTATTTTAATCAGTGAGTTGAGGGAATGAGGAATTATGGTTTATAGTACCTGATTAATCCCCAAAATTTACTGTGGAAAAATATTTCTTACATTAGCAAATAAGAATGCTAAAATCAACAATATTTCCTTGAAGACTAAATATACTGTAGTGGGCTCTTGGATTATTCCTGTGTTTAGTGGAATATCATTCTATAGACTCATCACATATACAGAGATTGGACTGTATATGTCCTGACTCTCAGATATTCTTTAAAATGTAAAACAAAATTTTTCTTTAACATTTTTGCTAAGTAAAATGTGATATAAATGTTTTTTTTATAATGAAAGTTCTCAAATAGTTGGATAGGAATGTGACTTTAATATATCTTGTTCTGTTTGTATTTATAGACAACATCAAGTAATAGACAATTTAAAATTTTAACTTAAGAGGGACATCCGTAAATTTGACTATTAAATTTGTGAATGATGCTATAAAATTTTTTCTAAAGAAAAAAAATAGTCAAAATTCAAAAAAGAAAACAACTACTCCAGAGATGGAAAACTGGCAGTCACAGGCCAGATCCAGCTCTCAGATGCTGTGAAACTTTGTGTTTATTTAGTTTTCTTTTGAGTTGCCCATATGAGGCTTGTTTTTTTGTTAGTCCTCACCGAGGATATTTTTTCCATTGATTTTTAGAGAGTAGAAGGGAAGGGGAAGGAGAGAGAGAGAGAGAGAGAGAGAGAGAGAGAGAGAGAGAGAGAGAGAGAGAGAGAGAAGACACACACATAGATTGGTTTGTTGCCTGCAAGTGCCTCAGGGCTAGAGATCACACCTGCAACCCAGGTACCTGCCCTTGACTAGGGATTGAAACCATGAGCCTTTAGTGTGCAGGCAACTACTGACCCACACCAGCCAGGGCTGCCCATATTGGTTTTTAAAACAATTAGAATTAGTCCTGGCTGGTTGCAGGTTCTATTTCTGGTCAGGGTACCCATACCAAGGTTTTGGGTTCAATTCCTGGTTGGGGTGCATACGGGAGGCAACTGATGGATGTTTCTCTCTCACATCTATGTTTCTCTCTCCCCTTCTCAAAAATAAATAAATAGATAGATAAATAAATAAATAAAAATATATCCTCAAATAAGGAATATATATAATTAGATGGCAGCATTTAAAACCTGAGAGATTTAGCATGTATTTATGGCTTCTCAAAAAATTAGATCTGGCCATACTGGTTCTATAGTCCCACCTTACAACGATTAGCTGGCACTGAACTATTTCATTTGTCACAGTCCCCAGCACTTTATTTGGAGTTATAGCCTCCATGCTTTTTATAATCATTTGAGTTTAGAACCCTTACAACAGACAGACCTTACTCACAAATATAGGCACAAAAATACTAATTCAACAATACATTAAAATACTAATATGACATCTACAGGTGAGGTTTAATACAAAAATGGAAGGATTGTTGTGTATTAGGAAATCTATTAATATAATACATGCTATCTATATTATTCATACAGTATCCAGAAAGTCTTTAATGTGGCTCAAAAGAATACATAAAATACAGCTGATGATATACAAAGAGTAGTAAAAAGAGTAAAACCAGAAATATAAAATGGAACTAACTTGATTATCTTAATAGGTACTAAAAAGGTATTTGATTTAAAAAATCCACTTCTGATTTTAAACAAAAACCTCTTGGAAAAAAAGTCATTATTTTTTTTTATTGTTGACAGTATTACAGATGTCTCCTATTGTCTCCCATTTTGCCCCCCTCCACCCAACCCTTGTCCCACCTCAGGTCTTCCACATGCTATTGTCTATCTCTGTTAGTTATGCATATATGCATATAGGTATGTTCTTTGGTTAATCTCCCACCTCTCCTATTACCCCCACCCCAAACCCCACCCCCAGAGGTCTGTTATTCTGTTCCAAGCATCCAAACTTCTGGCCATATTTTGTTCATCAGTTTATTTTGTACTTTAGATTACACATATAAGTGAGATAATATGATATTTGCCTTTCTTTAACTGGCTTACTTTGCTTAGCATAATACACTTGAGATCCATGCATACTGTAAGAGATCCTTCTTTTTTCCAGGCAAGTAGTATTCCATTGTGTAAATGTACCACAGCTTTTTTTATCCACTCATCTACTGATGAACACTTGGGCTGTTTCCAGATCTTAGTTATTGTAAATAATACGGCTATTAACATAGGGTGCATATATTCTTTTTGATTGGAGTTTTGGGAATTTTAAGATATATTCCCAGAACTGGGATCACTGGGTCAAATTGCAAATCCATTTTTAATTTTTTTAGGAAACTCCATAGTGTTTTCCACAGTGGCTGCCCCAGTCTGCATTCCCACCATCAGTGTACTACTTTTCTTCACATCCTTGCCAGCACTTGTTTGTTGATTTACTGACTAGTGGCCTGCTGCACGGATTTGTGCACCAGTGGGGTCCCTCAGCCTGGCCTGTGGGAATCGGGCCAAAACCAGTGCTCTAACATCCCCCAATGGGTCCTGGGTTGTGAGAGGGTGCAGGCCAGGCTGAGGGCCCCCACCAGTGCATGATCAGGGCCAAGAAGGGAAGGCGGGAAGGCTCCAGGGTGTGTCTGGCCCTGCTGGCCCAGTCTGCATGGGTTGGACTCCAGCAGCAAGCTAACCTACTGGTTGGAGCATCTGCCCCCTCGTGGTCAGTGCACGTCATAGCAACTGGTCAACAGTCAAATGGTGGGACACTTAGCATGTTAGGCTTTTATTAAATAGGACTAGGGGCCAGGCGCGTGAAATTCATGCATGGTGGGGGGGGGGTCCCTCAGCCCAGCCTGCCCCCTCTCACATACTGGGAGCCCTCAGGAGATGTTGTTCTGATGGCTTAGGCCCACTCCCTGCTCCCCTTGGGGAGCAGGCCTAAGCCACAGTCTGGCCGCCTTTTGTGGGAAGCGACAGGGCTGATCAGGGGAAGGCACTAGCCCCATCACCCCACTGCTGCAGCCACTGCCAGTCACCGCAGTCACCAAGGTGTTTTCATCAACACGGACTCCAGTCCCTTCACCATGAAAAAATGGACAACTTTCTGTAGGCATTTTCAAGATGTGTCTTTCATAGGATATGACATTTCTTTCTTTCTTTTTTTTATCCTCACCTGAGGATATGTTTCCATTGATTTTTAGAGAATGTGGAAGAGAAAGGGAAAGACAGAGAGAAACATCAAAGTGAGAGGAACACTTAGATTGGTTGCCTCCTGCATGAGCCCTGACCAGGGCCCAGGCCAGGGAGAAGCCTGCAACCTAGGTACATGTCCTTGGTCAGAATTGAACCCAGACCCTGCGGTGGGCGTTATCCACTGAGCAAAACCAGCTAGGGCAGGATATGACATTTCTTAGCCCTCCAGCAGCAGACCTTCATTTTTTTCTCCAGGAGTGTGGTGTAAAAACCCTAGATCACCTATTTGGATTCTTATTACCCAAGTTACTAAGAATATTACCAGTGGCATACCGGAAGCTTAGCCAATGAGCAGTCAGAAAAGGTGTTTCCTCTGTAGTTCACACCGATCACAGGCTGGGCCCCTGCCTAGGCCTAAAGCCTCTGGCCAAGGCTTTAGGCCTGGGCAGGGGCCCCCCCAGTTCCTTCTGATCGCCAGCTCCGCCCCTGCCCAGGCCTAGAGCCTCTGGCCCAGGCTTTAGGCTTGGGCAGGCACCCCCCCCCCCCCCCGCCGGCTATGATGTCCAGCTCCACCCCTCGGCTCTGATAGCAGGCTCGGCCCTGCCCAGGAGCCCCTTGGCTCAGGCCCTTCCCAGACTGCTCAGGGCCCACACGGGGCCTACCTTGGAGTGACCTGGGTGCCAATGATGTTCCTGGGACCCAGGCTGCTGGGCACCTACAAATGCAAATTAACCGCCATCTTTGTTTGGTTAATTTGCATACTCATCCAATTGGCTGGTGGGCATAGCAGAGTGATACCAATTTGCATGTTCCTCTTTTGTTAGTGTAGATGGTAGCCATTCTGGCAGGTGTGTTAATTTGAATCGCTCTGATGATTAGTGCCTTTGAGCATTTCTTCAGGTATCTCTTGGCAATCTGTATGTCTTCTTTGGAGAAGTGTCTATTCAGGTCCTTTGCCCATTTTTTAAATTGGATTGTTTATTTCTCTGCTGTTGAAGTCCATTAG